TGACTGACCTCAGCCACAAAAAAAAAAATCGAAATAAACTGAATTACCCTTTTTTCTTTCTAGAATAACTTTATATTTTAAAATGAAACTACATTCGTTTATCCTAAGTAGCTTTAAACTCGTAACTGTATACATCTATTTATAATTAAATTTTATTGTTTAACTGCCCTTATGATTGCCCCCTTTGAACCATGTATAACTACTATTCATGCCATACATCATACTAATTGGTATAACATAAAGAAAAAGTAGTTTAATAAAATTTTGAACATAAGACACAAAAACCTTGTGTCATGTACAGTAAAGGATACCCGTGGCGATAGGATTAAAGACTGTGTTGGTTACTATTGATTGGAACATTTTGTGAGGTAAATTGTTTTGTTACAGCAAAGCAATGTTGGGCCATCTGCGAATTCATACTGTAAATCAACTTGCCAATAGGAATAAATTTTGTGTGTGTTTAATATTTTTTATTTTATTTTTTTATATTTATTATAAATTACTATTAAGAAAATCAACTATATAACACTGATAATGTTCAAAATATCTCCTTTGTTGAGAAAAAGTGATAACATTATATTAATGAGGTGCGTATACAGTACCAGGATAGAGGGTGCATTGATGTAGGTGAAGAGTGTCATGAGACAAATATTGCCAAGGACAATTAAGTAGGGTATAAAAGACTGGAGCAAGTGAGAAAAAAATCAGACCAATGCTTAGATGGGAAAAGGAAAAAACCCTGGTAGTCGAGTAATAACTATAAATGTGAGAGGAGGTATGTATGTTGTGGAATTAAACTTTATGCCATGAAAGTTCAGGATGTTTTAGTTGTGACTGAATAACCTTATACAACACATTCCTTTCTGAAATCTGTTCATACTTACTTGCTTTAACTAGATGTATAACAAAAATTATGCAGATGTAACCATACACTTTTGTTAATGCATTTAATATCCATACATGATAATTTAAAGCTTTTCATTTTCTTTCTTTTTACCTTTTACACCAGGCAAGCCAGGGCGTCCATTACGGCCAGGAATTCCATCAAGACCTGGTTCTCCTTTTTGTCCTGGTAGTCCAGGAGGTCCAGGAATACCTAAAAGTGAGTCACCTGGGAACCCTAGAATTATAAAAAGATGTATACAAATACATGCATAGCTCATTCAATTATACTCCCAATCAAAACAGAAGCCCATAAAATCAAAGTATGTATATTGCACACACATGATTTAGATAGATGAATGATGATAGCATCTTGGTACTTTGTGGTACAAGTAATTGTTCAAACCACTAAAAGTACTGATCAAACTACTACACTTGAGTTGGATTTCTTTTATCACTATGTATTTCTCATTGTCTAAATAAGTTGTACTGTTGCATTATTTACACTGCGGTCATATTAGTTTTAAGATGTTTCACAAAAAAAATTTTAAAAATGCATTTAGTATTTAGCTCACACTTGGAATACCTCTTTCTCCTTTTGGCCCTCTCTCTCCTTTTTGTCCAGGAATTCCATTCAATCCTGGAGCACCATCCATTCCTTTAGGACCAGGAACTGATATGCCACAGTCTCCTTTAAATCCAGGTTCACCCTTTGGACCAGGTACACCTGGCAGACCAGGTGGTCCTCTGCGTCCATTAAGCCCATCAAGTCCAGGGGATCCTTTGTTTCCTTTAGGACCAGGTGGTCCTTCTATTCCAGGAGAACCAGGCACACCTATTCCACCTGGTGGACCAGGAAGCCCAGGAAGCCCATCAGATCCTATTGATAAGTTAAAAACAATTAACAACCATGATGAGGAATTTAAATCTTTTACATTAAATTTCAAGTGAAAAAGCCAATAAGTGAAAAGACCAGGATTTGAAACCAGGACCTCTGATTAACAGGGCTAATGCTTTACCATTGAGCTATGCAAAGAATACTAGCTGTCCACATCAATGTTCACTTCTGACTATGATCCACCATACTAACTTATGATAGGTACACAAACCAAATTATAAGAGGTCTATCCAAAAACCTATATTTATTTTTTTAAATTCCACTAGGAAACAATGAAACTGTAATATTTAGAATTTAATTTTTAGTACATTTTGACCATCCACTCAAACTTATACTTGTATATCCACAGTAGAATGGGATCTTTGCAAGTCTCTTGGGTAATGTTCATCAATGGGTGAATTCTCTATACATTCAAAGAAGATTTCAGCCTTAGTGATGGGTTTTAAAACATATTTTGGGAAGCAGGACATAGTGTCAACAACAGAATGATCTTCTGACTTTCTACATACAATGTTATATGAGCAGACTTGCAATATAAGGACCTATTGTTGCATTTTATGTTGTATTTTGGTTATTGGACGAACAATTGTCAACAAGGGTTTATGCCCAGTGACAAAAGTAAACATTATTTTATATAAAAACTTCAAAGCTAATGCTTGATGCTTATTTTTCAATTTTGACATATATGTACTCTACTTTGGCAAGGGTAAAAGAAGCAAAAGCTATTCAGATATATTGTTCGTCATATGCAAAATTATTGCCTCAACACAATATGATGTTGCATATTTTACTACTAAGGGCTTTTCCAGTTGATAATAAATCAACACACTATCATTCACTTATGCTTTTCCACATTTTTGAAGTACCATATTACAGTTATCTGACTAATTCCACTTTTTACTCCTTTTTCAACGCTAATTTAATAGTCTCAGCATTGAGAATAAATGTGTACATTTTTTTCACATAAATATAATAGACTGAGAAAGGAATGGAGTTCCTGAATATTGCTTGGAATATGAGCCTTTTAATGGAAATTATTTCATCTTGAATATGGTGCATGCCTTCTACATGAAGATAATAACATAGGTACTCTACACACCCTTAGACATAAATTGGCATTTCTCAGGAATTGTTTGAAATGACTCCAACTTTTTCCAGATAGTCTTGTTCTACTTTATTTCATAACACATACAGCACAGGTCTTGCTTTTTTAAAGACTGGTTTTACATAAGGTTTGGCCATTATCTCTCTCTCATAAAACTCTTAATATCCTGGTTATAATTTTTAAAAATATCTTTCTATTTAGATAAAATGTCTCCCAGTTTGTTATTTTGTCTTGTAATAAAGATTTTCTGCCAGTTCAACCATATCTCATCTAACCAATATTTTTTGACAAACATTCTTTGTCTTTAAGAACAATTATCAATTGACAGATTGAATGTTTGCTTGTTGTGTGAAATACTCATGCACATATATTTCAACAATGACAGATATCATAACAGGCAACAAACAATGATTTATAAACATAATGAAGTAAACTATTTATGGTGCAACATACTACATGTTTCGAAAGAACATTGGTCTGTTTTTTTCAGGCATGAAAACAGACCAATGTTCTGTCAAAAATCTACTATGTTCCATTGTAAGTAAATCACTTCATTATACTTGTAAATCATTGTTTGTCTACTATTATTATATTAGCATTATGTGCTTCCTTACTCAAATATATGACAGATGTTTTTTACCCAGAATATGAGCATAGCACTACTTCAGTTTTCCTCAACATAATATGTGCTAACAACTCTCATTACATTGCCTTGTACATAATGGATACACTTACACCAGTGACAACAATCATTTGAACTGATTTTCTTTCTATTTCCGTAAAGATCTCTCCTTTGAGACTTTATTTTCTAATATCATAAAATATAACTATAAATATAATTTCAAAGGAAATAACCTTAACAGAAAAGAAACTTGATGTTCTGGCTGTTCAGTCTCTTAAACCACTCAAGCAGTGTGTGCCATTTCTAGTGGTGGGGTAAATAGAATTTTAAGTTTTACTTACAGAAACATTGAATACAAGACTAAAGAACATAGAAGATATGATTTCATTGTTAGTTTACATTTGAGATACTGTGTTCAGTTTTGGGCTCCATACCTTAAGGACATTGTTGGAAAGGGTTCACAGTAGAGCTACTAGAATAATATGTGAGATAAAAAGATTCTCATAGGAGACATACTAAGATCTCTAAAATTATTTTCTCATGAAAAAAAGAGTTAGAGGGGATATGATTGAAGTATTTAAAATTGTTAAGGGAATCGACAGTGTTGATGCATCATCTATCATCTTTATTCTTGTACATAATAGTGAGAATGGAAGACTAAGGGACACAAATATTAATTTTTGCAGGGGTCATCTTCAGCTAAGAAAGCTTTATTTTTCTAACATGGTAGTTAGTCTTTGGAAAAGATTATCTTCAAATGGAGTAAATCCAGTAAAATTAAGGAAAGGATTGATAAATATTTGAATGGTATGAGTTAGCTTTGAGTATGTTTATTCTTTTAAGTTTAGTTTAGTGGATGAGATGGCCTAGATGGACCAACAGGTTCCTTGATATACTTAAATCTATATTTATCAACATGATGCTTAGCACCATACCTCCAACATACATAACAAGCAAAATTAAACTTATTCTGCTTATGTACATGTATTCAAATTCGATGACAGGAACCCACTTTGAGACTAATAATGGCTGGAGACGGCTTAAATGGGTAA